AGAGATATAGACCAATGGAACAGAACAGAAGCCTCGGAGGCAACGCCATACATCTACAACTGTCTGATCTTTGACAAACCTGACAAAAACAAGCAATGGGGACATGATTCCCTGTTTAATAAATGGTGTTGGGAAAATTGGCTAGCCACGTGCAGAAAGCAGAAACTGGACCCCTTCCTGACACTTTACACTAAAATGAACTCCAGATGGATTAAAGACTTAAACATAATACCTAACACCATAAAAACCCTAGAAGAAAACCTAGGCAAAACCATTCAGGACATGGGCATAGGCAAGGGCTTCATGACTAAAACACCAAAAGCATTGGCAACAAAAGCCAAAACAGATAAATGGGACCTAATTAAACTCCAGAGCTTCTGTACAGCAAAAGAAACAATCATTAGAGTGAACAGGCACCCAGCAGAATGATAAAAAATTTGTGCAATCTACCCATCTGACAAAGGGCTAATATCCAGAATCTACGAGGAACTAAAACAGATTTACAAGAAAAAAAACAACCTATTCAAAAGTGGGCGAAGGACATGAACACTTTCAAAAGAAGACATAAATTAGGCCAACAAACATGAAAAAATGCTTATCATCACTGGTCTTTAGAGAAACCCAAATCAAAACTACACTGAGATACCATTTCACGCCAGTTAGAATGGCGATCATTAAAAAATCTGGAGACAACAGGTGCTGGAGAGGATGTGGAGAAAAAGGAACAGTTTTACACTGTTGGTGGGATTGTAAATTAGTTCAACCATTGTGGAAGACAGTGTGGCAATTCCTCAAGGACCTAGAAATAGAAATTCTATTTGACCCAGCAATCCCATTACTGGATATATGTCCAAAAGATTATAAATCTTTCTATTATAAAGACAAATGCACACGTATGTTCATTGTGACACTGTTTACAATAGCAAAGACCTGGAACCAACCCAAATGCCCATCAATGATAGACTGGACAAGGAAAATGTGGCACATATACACCAAGGAATACTATGCAGCCATAAAAAAAAATGAGTTCGTGTCCTTTGAAGACACATGGATGAACCTGGAAACCATCATTCTCAGCAAACTGACACCAGATCAGAAAATCAAACACCGCATGTTTTCACACATAGACGGGTGTTCAACAATGAGAACACATGGACACAGGGAGGGGAGCATCACACACTGGGGTCCGTTGGTGGGGTCTAGGGGAGGGACAGTGGGAAGGGAGGTTGGGGAAGAATGACATGGGGAGAAATGCCAGATATAGGTGATGAGGGGATGGAGGCAGCAAACCACATTGCCATGTATGCACCTATGCAACAATACTGCATGATCTGCACATGTACCCCAGAACCTAATGTACAATAAAAAATATTTTTTAAAATAACCATTTAATTGTATACTTATAATGTGTGAATTTTGCAGTATATAAATTATACCTCAATAAACATATTTTAGGTGGACAAATTATCAGACAGAAAAACAGACAATATTGAAAGGAATGATAATTAAACTGTTATGATTATTACTGTGGTATACTTAATTACCTCTAAATTTACTGGTTAAAACAACAGCTGTTTTATTATTCTCATAGATTATTTGTATCAGGAGTTCAGGCAGGGCTCCATTGGGCAGTTATTTATCTCTTTGGCATTGACCAAGGTCACTTGATGTTGATCAGTAGATCTAGAGGGACCAAGACAGTTTCATTCATATATCTGGTACCTGAGTAGCAATGACTTGACAATTAGAACTACCAACCAGAGCACCTACATGTTGTCTGTCCATGTGACTTGTCTTCTTCATACTGTGGCGGCCTCAGAGCAGTAGGACTTCTTATATGGTGGCTCAAGGCTCCAACTGTGTGTTCTAGTTAACAAAGCAGAAAGTGCCTCACCTTTTGCAATAAGCTTCAGAAGTCATACAGCACTTTATGCCACAATCTCTTAGTTGAAAGCAGACAAAACCCACTTAGAATGAAGAAGAAGAAAAATTGGGCCCACTTCCTGATGAGAGAAGTGTCAAAGAATTGGGGACATGTTTTTTTTCCCCCATTTATTTTATTGCATTTTAGGTTTTGGGGTACATATGAAGAACATGGAAGATTGTTGCATAGGTACCCACGTGGCAGCGTGATTTGCTGCCTTCCTCCCCATCACCTACATCTGGCATCTCTCCCCTTGCTATCTCTCCCTCTCCCCAGCTCCCCACCCCCCACCGTCCCTCCCCTATTTCCCCCCAACTGACCCCAGTGTGTAGTGCTCTCCTCCCTGTGTCCATGTGTTCTCATTGTTCAACACCCGCCTATGAGTGAGAACATGCGGTGTTTGATCTTCTGCTCTTCTGTCAGTTTGCTGAGAATGATGGTTTCCAGGTTCATCCATGGGGGACATGTTTTAAAACTGCCTCATAGACTGACAGCTTACTTCTCTAGAGCCAAAAAGGAAGGAAGAAGACAATGAAATCTTATCTTTCACATATTGAAAGAAAATAACTATCAACCTAGCAAGAATTGCCCTTTTATTGGCAATTTATATCAATAATAAATAAATAAATAACTTTATATTAAAATTTAAAATGTAGGGTATAAAAAAGGAAATACCAACCACTTATTTTTTATTAGGTTAACATAGCATTTGGTTGTAAACCTAAGTCAGCATGAGAAAGGAAAATTAAAAGTACAGACCAATTGCATTATAAACATGGGTTCAAAAAATCCTAAACAAAATTTAATAAACCTAATACAGCAATATATTAAAAAGATAATATTATTATCAAGCTGACTTATCCCAGGAGTACTAGATTAATTTAACATTAGAAAATCAAATGTGACAATCTACTATATTAATACATAAAAGGAAAAATATAATTTGATAATTCCAATAGCTTCAGAAAAAGCATTTGTCAAAAGTCAACATCCATTCATAATAAAAACTCACAGGAAATTCGGATTACAAGGAAATACTTATCATTATCCTGATAAACATCTGGAAAAAACTTAAAATTGACAGATATCACCATCTCTACTTAATGTTATATTGGAAATCCTAGTCAGTGTTCTTTGGGCAAAAAATGGAAAAAAGTATTTTAATATTGGAAAGGATTAAACAAAACTGCTATTATTTGAAGCATCATTCTGCTGCTTACATGCAGGTAAGGAATCGGCTGTTTGCTAAATGACTGGGTTTTAAGATAAGAGCACAAGTGGAAGTTGCATTTTCATCCTCATATCACACACCTCAGATCTGGAGGTGGGATTGACATTTTCAGGGTTCTTCGCTGCAGCTTTCATGTTATTACTCTTCCTTGCTCTCTCTCTTTTGATCTAGGGTCTCACTGTCACCCAGGCTGGAATGCTGTGGTGTGATCACAGTTCACTACTGCCACCTCAGCCTCCCAAATAGCTGGGACTACAGGCATGCGTCACCATGCCCAGCTATTTTTTAATTTTTTGAGGAGATGAGGTCTCACTATATTGCCCAGGTTGGTCTTGAACTCTTGGGCTCAAAAAATCCTCCTGCCTTGGCTTCCCAAAGTGCTGGCATGAGCCACTGCACCTGGGCCTTTGTTTTCTTTTAAAGCTGGTGCAATCAGGCAATACCACCTGCAACCCTTGCTTAATGTTATGATCAACTGTCCTCTTGGTCATGCCTGCTCATTCACCGAAGATTTTATCTCCTGGAACACTATCTCTTTCTCTATTATCAGTGAATTTACTGCCCAAATAATGAAAAAGGCTGAGGGGAAGCAGTGTCCTCAGCAGACATCCAAATTTCAATTAGTGTGAGAAGGTGCAGAGAATACTTCCTGCAGCAACTGAAACAATAAAGAAATGGAAAGGGGCCTTTAGAGAGAAACCTAAGTACTGTCAGTCCTCCACATTGTCAACTGAAGAATCACAAGTTCATAAATTTGGAGAGAAAAGGGTTGCAGGCTGGGAAGTGTAGCCTCTGGCAGAAACTGGAAGCAAGCACTTTGAAGAATGAAGGATGAGACAGGAAGTTATGCTGAATGAGTTAGTTAAGTATACATATTTAACAGATTCCAGGAGGAGCTGTGAATATTTATGATGGGACACATGCAACCATGCATGTTACATACATTCCAAGTTCCCTTTGGGGTGGAGACTTTACATTTAGATGCGTGAAAATTAGGCTCTATATGTCAAAAGGTGAAACAAAGGACACAGAGGCAGCCTCTGTAAACTGGCCAGAGCCAGTTCTTGGTCACTGGTCTCTCATCACGAAGGAATGCTTGTCAGTTGTTGTGTCAAAACTGCAAAAAGGGAGGGGAATCCAGCACATCTTTAGAAAGGACTGGTTTCTGTTTAACCCTTAAGAAAGAAAGTCTAATGGCAGATTAGGGAGGGAGGGAGTGTAAGAAGGCATGCCTGATCTCCCATCCCACCATGGTCAGAAATTCAGTTTTTACGCCTTCTCTGGGGTCTCCTTGGCCAAGAAGGGGATCTCTTCTGTTGTTTGGGGATGCTTAAGATTTTATTTTTATTTTTCAATATCCATGGGTTTCTAGTCTCATATTCAAACAATCACGGATTGAAAGTATTCAAAGAACAACCCCAAAACGATAAAAGATAATACAACAATAAATAATAATACAAAGAAAAAATACAGTATAGCAACTGTTTACATAGCATTTACATTTTATTATGTTTCTATAAGAAATCTAGAGATGAGTTAAAGTACATGAGAGTATGTGCATAGGCTATAGTTATATGCAAATACTACATCATTTTACATAAGACACCAGAGTATCACAGATTTTGGTATCTGCAGGGATCCTGGAACCAATCCTCCATGCATGCCTAGGGACAGTCAGATGTCTGAACAATTTCATGAAAAGACCAAATATTTTGAGTTTTATGTAGGCTTAAATTACTATAATGTAGATAGAGGCCACTTTTGTTTATCTGGAGTTAGACCACAGTTTTCTTGTTGATTTTAGTTGTTTTAGAATTTGATCTTAGATCTCACTTATACTTTCAGATTATATTTAAGAATCAAGCAAGCCGACCATATAACATCTACCCTCATGGAATCACTGATGTCCGTCCTTTGTACTCAAGGAGATTATCGAAAGGTAAGTATTCCCTCGATTTATAGGTCTTTTTTACCTGTAGATACAGATGAGATCAATATCATCAATAACAACTAAAATTATGTTGGTCCTTTCTCCAGCTGTTGGCTAGACCTCAAGCTCCAGTCTAAAGTTATAAAAATCAATTATAGAAATCCTTAGGTGATGTTTCTTTTATTATTATTAATTACTTTTAAAAAATTTATTTATTATACTTCAAGTTCTGGGGTACATGTGCAGATCGTGCAGGTTTGTTACAGGGGTATACACATGTCATGGTGGTGGTTTGCTGCATCCATCCCGCCCCGTCACCTACATTAGATATTTCTCCTAGTGTTATCCGTCCCCAATCCCCCCACCCCCTGCTATTCCTCCCCTAGCCCTCCACCCCGCAGCCCTAGGTGTGATGTTTCCCTCCCTGTGTCCTTGTGTTCTCGTTGTTCAACACCCACTTATGAATGAGAACCTGCGGTGTTTGGTTTTCTGTTCTTGTGTCAGTTTGCTGAGAATGATGGTTTCCAGCTTCAACCATATCCCTGCAAAGGACATGAACTGATCCTTTTTTATGGCTGCATAGTATTCCATGGTGTATATGTGCCACATTTTCTTTATCCAGTCTATCATTGATGGGCATTTGGGTTGGTTCCAAGTCTTTGCTATGGTAAACAGTGCTGCGATAAACATATGTGTGCATATGTCTTTATAATAGAATGATTTATAATTCTTTGGGTATATACCCAGTAATGGGATTGCTGGGTCAAATGGTATTTTTATTTCTAGACCCTTGAGGAATCACCACACCATCTTCCACAATGGTTGAATTAATTTACACTCCCACCAACAGTGTAAAAGTCTTCCTATTTCTCCACATTCTCTCCAGCATCTGTTGTCTCCAGATTTTTTAATGATTGCCATTCTAACTGGCATGAGATGATATCTCAGTGTGGTTTTGATTTGCATTTCTCTAATGACTAGTGATGATGAGCATTTTTTCATATGTTTGTTGGCTGCATAAATGTCTTCTTTTGAAAAGTATCTGTTCCTATTCTTTGCCCACTTTTTGATGGGGTTGTTTTTTTCTTGTAAATTTGTTTAAGTTCTCCATAGAGTCTGGATACTAGCCCTTTGTCAGATGGGTTGATGATTGCAAAAATTTTTTCTCATTCTGTTGGTTGCCAGTTCATTCTATTGATAGTTTCTTTTGCTGTGCAGAAGTTCTGGAGTTTTATTAGATCCCACTTGTCTGTTTTGGCTTTTGTTGCCATTGCTTTTGGTGTTTTAGTGCGAAGTCCTTGCCCATGCCTATTTCCTGAATGGCATTGCCTAGGTTTTCTTCTAGAGTTTTTATGGTGTTAGGTCTTATGTTTAAATCTTTAATCCATCCTGAGTTAATTTTTGTATAAGGAATAAGGAAGGGATCCAGTTTCAGCTTTCTACCTATGGCTAGCCAGTTTTCCCAACAACATTTATTAAATAGGGAATCCTTTCCCCATTGCTTGTTTTTGTCAGGTTTGTCAAAGATGAGATGGTTGTAATCGTGAGGTGATGTTTCGTGTAAGTTAGTGAACAGTCACCTGATGTCTTTTTCCTGGTACCTAGTGGTGATGTTCAGATATTGCACAGCCAATGAGATTGGCACTTTTCCACTGCAACTGCTATAAATGCCCTAAAATCTTGAAGCTGGTTCTTTTGGCATTTAAGATAATTTTTTTTTTCTGAATACATTTTTCGGCTATATTCCAAACTTTTGGTATCTAGTAATCTCTTTTCATTTCTTTTTTTCTTTTTGAGACGGAGTTTCACTCTTGTTACCCAGGCTGGAGTGCAATGGCGCGATCTCGGCTCACCACAACCTCCGTCTTCTGGGTTCAAGCAATTCTCCTGCCTCAGCCTCCTGAGTAGCTGGGACTACAGGCGTGCGCCACTATGCCCAGCTAATTTTTGTATTTTTAGTAGAGACGGGGTTTCACCATGTTGAACAGGATGGTCTCGATCTCTTGACCTCGTGATCCACACGCCTCGGCCTCCCAAAGTGCTGGGATTACAAGCGTGAGCCACCGCGCCCGGCCTTCTTTTCATTTCCAAATAGTTCATGACTCCAGTTTTTATTTAGTATATTGTTTGTTGTTTAAAGATTTATGACATGTCTATCACATGGACTGCAGATTTTATTAATAAAAATGCCCCTTTTAGTTTTTTGTTCCTTAAATTGAATTCTATTTCACCAATTTTAGTATTGCCACATATGCTTACCTAATTTATCTTTTTCATGATATTAGTTTCTCATATTTTTATTCAGTTTGTATTTGCCATGGCCCATGAAAAGAGCGTACATATGGGTTTTATTTTCATGCCCAATCTCTATCTTTCAATAGGGGGTGTTACTACTGATATGTCTTTGTGTATTCTGATAATTTTATATTTTAATTGCAATTACTTTAGCCTTTTATTTCTTTTGTCAGTAGTTTTATTATATATATATATATTTAGTAGATTGGATGTTACATATATTTTTTCTATTCTTTAATTTTGGTTGGATATTTATCAAAATAATAGATGTGTATGCTTACAACTACAAAAGGGCGGCCTCCCTAGAGGCATCCATTTTTAAGAATTTCTGTTTTTGATTTTTGATGGTTATCTCCACATCTCTAAAAAGTTACTTATACTGCTAACTCTTTTTTTTCCCACATTTATTTATTTTATTGCATTTTAGGTTTTGGGGTACATATGAAGAACATGCAAAATTGTTGCATAGGTACACTCGTGGCAGTGTGATTTGCTGCCTTCCTCCCCATCACCTACATCTGGCATTTCTCCCCTTGCTATCTCTCCCCAGCTCCCCACCCCCTACCGTCCCTCCCCTATTTCCCCCAACTGACCCCAGTGTGTAGTGCTCCCCTCCCTGTGTCCATGTGTTCTCATCATTCAACACCCGCCTATGAGTGAGAACATGCGGTGTTTGATCTTCTGCCCTTCTGTCAGTTTGCTGAGAATGATGGTTTCCAGGTTCATCCATGTCCCTACAAAGGACCCAAACTCATCGTTTTTGATGGCTGCATAATATTCCATGGTGTATAGGTGCCACATTTTCCCTATCCAGTCTATAGTCGATGGGCATTTGGGTTGGTTCCAGGTCTTTGCTATTGTAAACAGTCCTGCAATGAACATTTGTGTGCATGTGTCCTTATAGTAGAACGATTTGTAATCCTTTGGATACATACCCAGTAATGAGATTGCTGGGTCAAATGGAATTTCTATTTCTAGGTCCTTGAGGAATCGCCACACTGTCTTCCACAATCGTTGAACTAATTTACACTCCCACCAACAGTGCAAAAGTGTTCCTATTTCTCCACATCCACTCCAGCATCTGTTGTGTCCAGACTTTTTAATGATCGCCATTCTAACTGGCATGAGATGGTATCTCAATGTTGTTTTGATTTGCATTTCTCTGATGACCAGTGATGATGAGCATTTTTTCATGTTTGTTGGCCTCATGTATGTCTTCTTTTGTAAAGTGTCTGTTCATATCCTTTGCGCACTTTTGAATGGGCTTGTTAGTTTTTTTCTTGTAAATCTGTTTTAGTTCTTTGTAAATTCTGGATATCAGCCCTTTGTCAGATGGGTAGACTGCAAAAATTTTTTCCCATTCTGTTGGTTGCCGATTCACTCTAATGACTGTTTCTTTTCCTGTGCAGAAGCTGTGGAGTTTGATTAGGTCCCATTTGTCTATTTTGGCTTTTGTTGTCAATGCTTTTGGTGTTTTGGTCATGAAGTCCTTGCCTACACCTATGTCCTGCATGGCTTTGCCTAGATTTTCTTCTAGGGTTTTTATGGTGTTAGGTCTTATGTTTAAGTCTTTAATCCATCTGGAGTTAATTTTAGTGTAAGGTGTCAGGAAGGGGTCCAGTTTCTGCTTTCTGCACATGGCTAGCCAGCTTTCCCAACACCATTTATTGAACAGGGAATCCTTTCCCCATTGCTTGTTTTTGTCTGGTTTGTCAAAGATCAGATGGTTGTAGATGTGTGGTGTTGCCTCCGAGACCTCTGTTCTGTTCCATTGGTCTATATCTCTGTTTTGGTACCAATACCATGCTGTTTTGATTACTGTAGCCTTGTAGTATAGTTTGAAGTCCGGTAGTGTGATGCCTCCAGCTTTGTTCTTTTTGCTTAGAATTGACTTGGCTATGCGGACTCTCTTTTGGTTCCATATGAAGGTTAAGGTGGTTTTTTCCAGTTCTGCAAAGAAGGTCATTGGTAGCTTGATGGGGATAGCATTGAATCTGTAAATTACTTTGGGCAGTATGGCCATTTTCACGATATTGATTCTTCCTAAACATGAACATGGAATGTTTCTCCATCTGTTTGTGCCCCCTCTTATTTCGTTGAGCAGTGGCTTGTAGTTCTCCTTGAAGAGGGCCTTTACGTTCCTTGTTAGTTTTATTCCTAGGTATTTTATTCTCTTTGTGGCAATTGTGAACGGAAGTTTGTTCTTGATTTGGCTCTCTTTAAGTCTGTTATTGGTGTATAGGAATGCATGTGATTTTTGCACATTGATTTTGTATCCTGAGACTTTGCTGAGGTTGCTTATCAGTTTAAGGAGATTTGGGGCTGAGACGATGGGGTCTTCTAGATATACAATCATGTCGTCTGCAAATAAAGACAATTTGACTTCCTCCTTTCCTATTTGAATGCCCTTTATTTCTTTTTCTTGCCTGATTGCTCTGGCTAGAACTTCTAATACTATATTGAATAGCAGTGGTGAGAGGGGGCATCCTTGTCTGGTGCCACATTTCAAGGGGAATGGCTCCAGTTTTTGCCCATTCAGTATATTGGCTGTTGGTTTGTCATAAATAGCTTTTGTTATTTTGAGATATGTTCCATCAATTCCTAGCTTATTGAGGGTTTTTAGCATAAAGGACTGTTGAATTTTGTCAAAGGTCTTCTCTGCATGAATTGAGACAATCATGTGGTTTTTTTGACTTTGGTTCTGTTTATGTGGT